AATATATTTTATTTTATAAAATATATAAAAAATTTAATGAAAAATTAAAATTTTATATTTTAAATAAAATATTATACAAAATACGTACTGATAAACGAGGCCTTAATTTTGTTTTGTTCTCAAGTCTTAATACATAAAATAAATACTCCAGAAAATGAATAACGCACGCTCCATTTAGATGGATTGAGGTTTTTGCTTTTTGTTTTTATTATTTTTTATCTAATAATTAACAAACCATATTTAGAATTTTGAATGTTCAAGCTAAAAACTAGTAGTAAAATATACTAAGTAATGTTATTTTAGTTTTAAAATAATTGTTATTTTAATTAAAAATTTATCTCAAATTAATTTTTTTTTTCATTTTTAAATAGATAAATATTTTTATTACTTTAATTGTCTTTTTATCATGTAATTTTAATTATTCATCTTATCAACAAACTTTTTTCTTTATCCTTATTTCTTTCTTAAAGGTAATAGAAATATAGATTTCTTTAAAGTTCTGAGGCTATCAATTAAAGAAATTAATTTTTTTTTTTGCAACATATTAATATGAAGTGCACTTTTAAAATAGTTTAAGGATGAATTAATTTCAAAATATACAAAAATTAGTTCAAGAAACACCTTAATAGTGAAAACAAAAAATGGAATTTTCTTGATTGTGGTCTCATTCCTCAGGATAATAAAAAGGTTACATCCTCTGTAAAACACTGTCCTCCCAATCCAAACAAGAAACCGACCCTTAAATGAATTTTCTCCCTTAGTTTCTGCATTTATTTTAGAAACCTTTTTTTTTTTCTAAACCCAAAAAAAAAAAAAAAAAAAAAAAAAAACTCGTTTCTTCTTTGGCAAGTTTTAATTAAGTTCACAGTACCATTTTCATTCATGTTGTTAAATGTTTTATAATTATGGGAAATAAATTGCTGAAACACATGTCATTCAATTAACGTGTGTTATATTATTCCAGCCAAACAATATTTACAATTTTTGAATGCACAAGGTATTTCTTGATCATGTCCAGCCAACCAAAATTTACATTCCTATTCTTTAAGTCACAGTATTTGACAATTAAGATCACGGAAATTGATGTCCCATTGGATTCATGTATGCTTGCTGGTTCAAGATGCCACCCTGAAATTTCGCCAAATCTGTAAATAGGTTCATTTCAGCATCATCTATAGTACTGGTTTGGAAACCAAAGCCTGAATTGCATGTATTTTGACTACTTATTAGCAGCTCTGAAATTGGCCCCATGAATTCCAGATCCAAAAGATGGGAAACGGAATATGTCCTTGAAAATTTATTCTTTTCTTGGTGGTCAATAACATCCTTACCCCCTTGTATCTCAATTTTCGAGTCAGATTCGTCGATTTTCTGATCGAAAATTTTCCCAACCGTATGCTTCTTCTTGTAAATCCTACACAGGACCCAATCATCCAACTGAAAAACAAGAAAACATTACATATATATAAGATCAAAAATGAAAAGTAAAAGAAATTAATTAAAAAGAAGATATATGCTTACTCTCATGGATCCGTTTTGCTTTTTGGCTTGATTACGTGAATCACATAAGCGATATTCGTGCATGATCCAATCAGTCTTGACTCCCTTTGGTGGTCTACCCTTGTAAAATACTAGAGATTTCTTCACCCCTACATATTTGGACCCACTATATATGCCCTTGTCCGTGCCCGTTGCCTTCCAATAACCCGATAGAGTAGCCCTGTTGGGTCGCATCCCATTAGGGTACTTCCTTTCACGAGGGCTAAAGAAGTACCATTCATTTTCTCCAAACTCCGCCTTCTCTGCATTCATATGAAATAAATTAAAGATTAGCCCAAGAAATCATGTGGCAAGCAGAGTTCACGCTGTGCTCTGGCTTCCAAGAGAATATATAGTATTAAGAGTACATAGACAAATAACTACTAACCTGGTAATTGCCAAGGATCAAATTTATAAATATCAACTTCTGCGATAATGGGAACGGGAAATTGTTGTGAGGTGGCTTGGTTACGAAGGTAATACATGATCAGCTCTTCGTCGGTTGGGTGGAATCGAAATCCAGGAGGAAGACTAGAGCTGCAGGTTTGTGAAACCATTGTAGAGGATGTATATTACATGCAAACTAGAACTAAAATCATGTAATTTAATTTTGAGAAATGGGAAGGGAGAAATATAAGAGTGCTTGAAATGTTTCCAAGGAGAGGAATAGGCCTTATATTGGTGAGGGATCTTGTCGTGTAGTGCTTTTTGAATGGGCTGTGATTGGAGGATGAATTGACTTTTTCTTTTGCAGTCCTTCGTATCTCAATCATGTTAGGATATGCGCTATGTCTCTGTGATTGCCTTGTTGTGCTGGGTTCCTTGCACCTCCTGAAGAGATGATATTTTGTTCGGTTCTAGGGTTGGGACATTCAATGGGATAAAGATTAGATGCTCCAAATACAATGGTTTCATTTAGTCCCACTTTCTCATATCTCTTTCACATGGCAACATGCGTAGGCCTCACCTAGCGGTAGGTAGCAAAGGGAGGCCGGCCCCACCATCATCATATGGTATATTTATTTACTTATTTCTTTATTTTAACAAATACAAATTTAAAAAACGATTTAAATTCAACATCTAAAATTGAATTACACTTTTTTTATAAAGTCTTATAATAAATTGGCTTTTTAGGTTGAGTGCTCCATCATATGATCTATAGGTTAGATTTTATTTATTGTTTTTATTTTCATGTGATTGATTTATCTAGTTACATGGACAAAATGTAATGACTTTATTTGCTTTTAAGTCATTTTAAAAAAGAGAAAGTAGAGAACCAAACTTTTAGATTTAATGGTTTCTTTTTTTTTAATCTTAGTATTTAAATTTAATTGGTGGAGAGTTTAACTCCCATTAATGATTTGAAAAAAATTCCCTATTCCCCAAAATTCCTCCATATTCAAAAAAAAAAAAAAAAGAGGAAGTAAAAAATTATGCTTATGTATTGGGCAAAATATATATATATATATATACACACACTTATGTATGCTTCTTTTTCTTTTTGATATATGTGATAATGATGGATTCTACAAAAGGAGAGAACCCTTTTTTTTCCCTAAATTTCTCTCTCTCTCACTCAAAGTTATGCTATCCTCTCTATTTTTTTTTTCTTTATAGGTACTCTCTATTAATTTTTAATTATCTTAATTTTACTTATTTTTTAATTTTTAGACCTTAAATTTATTGTAGATACTTTTTACCTAAAAATAACTATTATTTTTTTTACATTTTAAATTAAAAATTTAGAAATAATATTTATATTTATCTTTAATATTTTTTAAAAAGAAATAAAAAAAATTTGTGATTAAATAATTAATTAAAATAAATAAATAATAATAAAATTAAAGTAAAAAATATTTATTTACTGTAAAAATAAAAAATAATAATTACTTTAAAATAAATTTTAAAAAAAACTATAGTTATTTTTAAAAGTAGGGAGTGACACCTTACATACATACGCCTCACCCAGTAGTACGTAGGAGGGGGGTCCCTCCATCCTATGGTCTATTGGTTAGTTGATTTTATTTAATGTTTCTGTTCTCATGTGATTAAGTTATCTAGTTATTGGGATAAAGTCTAATGACTTTATCTGGATTCAATTATTTTGAAATAAAAGAATATTAAATTATATTTATTTATTGGGTAATATATATCTTTATTTATTTATGTATGCTACACTTTTATTACTCTTTTTATCTAAAAATAATAATTAATTTTAAATTAAATTAAATTTTATTTATTTATTGGGTAATATATATATTTACTCTTTTATTACTAAAGAAAAAATTTATTCTCCGCCGCCCTACCCTCCCCTCTATTCTCTTCAACCTAAGTATATATTTAATTTTAATTATTTTTTAACTTTTAGGTATTAAATTTACTATAGATGGTACTTTTTTTCCTATTTATTTTTTAATATTGAGTAATTTTATACGATAAAAAAATTTTAATTATTATTTAGTATGTATTATATTAAATT